GACAGCTTGTCTGGGGTTCCCATCATCCGCACTCCTTTCCCAGTGTCGGTGGTCTTAGAGCTGTGACCGTGAAAGCAGCATCCAGGTATGAGGGGCGGACTGACAACTCATGGGGCCCCCGGGCAATAGGGGATCATGGGGCCCCTGTGTCCTTGCCCAAGCTCAAAAAAGCCTATGAAAAAGGTACCAGGGGCATCTCATGGGGCCCCCTACTGACCCTGGGCCCTCGGGCAGTGCCAGTGTTTCCAAATGGTCAGTCCGCCCCTGCCGGGTATACATTGCTGTATCTGCGTTGGGAGGCAGGAGGAATGAGCATCAGCTTTCCCTGTCTGCCCAAGTATACGAACAGGGATCTCCACCAACGAAAGGAAAATAAAGCGGAGGGAGTGAGACTCCTGGCCAAAAGGTGGCAGAATCAGATAATCCAACAAGGGAAATATCAGTGATTCTGAGAGTGATGAGAGGTTGACGTGTGGGTCTCCACCGTTCTCAGCCATCCCTCCTTTAGGCTCTGTTCACATTTGTGCGTTTTTAATTGCGCTGTAGGTGCTGTGCATTAAAAAGAAATCCTGCTTGCTGCAATTTGATGAGAATTCATGAAAACGCATGTTCTATTGAGCTCAATGGTCATGCATCTAAAGTGCACTGCAAAGATGTGAACATTTATTTTTTATTTATTTCAGGTACTTGTATAGCGCCGTCAATGTACGCAGCACTTTACATATATATTGTACATTCACATCAGTCCCTAACCCTCAAGGGGCGTACAATCTAAGGTCCCTAACCCTCAAGGGGCGTACAGTCTAAGGTCCCTAACCCTCAAGGGGTGTACAATCTAAGGTCCCTGACCCTCAAGGGGCGTACAATCTAAGGTCCCTAACCCTCAAGGGGCGTACAATCTAAGGTCCCTAACCCTCAAGGGGTGTACAATCTAAGATCCTAACCCTCAAGGGGCATACAATCTAAGGTCCCTGACCCTCAAGGGGCGTACAATCTAAGGTCCCTGACCCTCAAGGGGCGTACAATCTAAGGTCCCTGACCCTCAAGGGGCGTACAATCTAAGGTCCCTGACCCTCAAGGGGCGTACAATCTAAGGTCCCTGACCCTCAAGGGGCGTACAATCTAAGGTCCCTGACCCTCAAGGGGCGTACAATCTAAGGTCCCTGACCCTCAAGGGGCGTACAATCTAAGGTCCCTGACCCTCAAGGGGCGTACAATCTAAGGTCCCTGACCCTCAAGGGGCGTACAATCTAAGGTCCCTGACCCTCAAGGGGCGTACAATCTAAGGTCCCTGACCCTCAAGGGGCGTACAATCTAAGGTCCCTGACCCTCAAGGGGCGTACAATCTAAGGTCCCTGACCCTCAAGGGGCGTACAATCTAAGGTCCCTGACCCTCAAGGGGCGTACAATCTAAGGTCCCTGACCCTCAAGGGGCGTACAATCTAAGGTCCCTGACCCTCAAGGGGCGTACAATCTAAGGTCCCTGACCCTCAAGGGGCGTACAATCTAAGGTCCCTGACCCTCAAGGGGCGTACAATCTAAGGTCCCTGACCCTCAAGGGGCGTACAATTTAAGGTCCCTGACCCTCAAGTGGCGTACAATCTAAGGTCCCTGACCCTCAAAGGGCGTACAATCTAAGGTCCCTAATTCACATTCATGCATACACATACTAGGGGCCAATTTAGACAGGAGCCAATTCACCTACCAGCATGTCTTTGTAGTGTGGGAGGAAACCGGAGTACCCAGAGGAAACCCACGCAGGCCCAGGGAGAACATGCAAACTCCAGGAAGGTGGTGCTGTGGATGGGATTCGAACCAACAACCCGAGTACTGCCAGGTGGAAGTGCTAACTATTTAGGGTGGAACGTCACTCTCTCAATCAACATGGATTATTTTTAATCCTTATGCTGCTAGCATTAGAAATAGATAGGAATGTATATCAAATTAACTTGTTTTAAACTTTTCTTTCTTTTTCAGTTGCTTCCTGGTTTCCATGCCTAGGCAAATGATGTCATACATTTCAGTAGGGAGGGAGGGTTCTCACCTCAGCCTAATGCAGGCCATAGACAGGGTGAAAACCGGTCGTTTTTAAAAAAAATAATAAATCTGTCATTCAATTGGCCGACGTTACCACCAACGGTAAAAAAAAATCGGCCGATTTTTGTCCCGTCTACGGTCAGCAAATATAATAGCGGAGTATTACTTCTGTCCCTGCAGAGAGCTTCGCTATTATATTTGACATTAAAAAGTATAGCGGTTGCAACAAATGTATCCATTTCAGATTCAGTTGTTTTTATTCGGATACAAATAGATACATTGTTGCAACCGCTATACATTTTAATGTCAAATATAGCGGACTGGAATTCTTTCTTCTTCCTTTTTTTTTTTTTTTTTTTTTTTTTTCCCCTCTTCTTCTTTCTTCTTCCTTTTTTTCTTCTTTCTTCTTCCTTTTTTTCTTCTTCCTTCTTTCTTTCTTCTTCTTCCTTCTTTCTTTCTTCTTCTTCTTTCTTTCTTTCTTTCCTTCTTTCTTTCTTCTTCTTCCTTCTTTCTTTCTTCTTCTTTCCTTCTTTCCTTCTTCTTCTTTCTTCTTCCTCCTTCTTTCTTCTTCCTCCTTCTTTCTTCTTCCTCCTCTTTTCTTTCTTCCTTCCCTCTTCTTTCTTTCTTCCTTCCCTTCTTTTTCTTTCTTCCTTCCCTCTTCTTTCTTTCTTCCTTCCCTCTTCTTTCTTTCTTCCTTCCCTCTTCTTTCTTTCTTTCCTTCCCTCTTCTTTCTTTCTTCCTTCCCTCTTCTTTCTTTCTTCCTTCCCTCTTCTTTCTTTCTTCCTTCCCTCTTCTTTCTTTCTTCCTTCCCTCTTCTTTCTTTCTTCCTTCCCTCTTCTTTCTTTCTTCCTTCCCTCTCTCTTCTTTCTTCCTTCCCTCTTCTTTCTTTCTTTCTTTCTTCCTTCCCTCTTCTTTCTTTCTTTTTTCTTTTCTTTTCTTTCTTTCTTTCTTCCTTCCTTTCTTTCTTTCTTCCCTCTTCTTTCTTCTTTCTTTCTTTTTTCTTTCTTTCTTTCTCTCTTCTTTCTCTTCTTTCTTTCTCTTTCTCTTTCTCTTTCTTTTCTCTCTTTCTTTCTCTCTCTCTTCTCTTTCTCTCTCTTTCTTTCTCTCTTTCTTCTTTCTCTCTTTCTTTCTTTTCTCTTTCTTTCTTCTCTTTCTTCTTTCTCTTCTCTTTCTTTCTTTCTTTCTTTCTCTTTCTTTTCTTCTCTCTTTCTTTCTCTCTTTCTTTTCTTTCTCTTCTTTCTTTCTTCTCTCTTTCTTTCTCTCTTTCTTTCTTTCTCTCTTCTTTTCTCTCTCTTTCTTTTCTTTCTTTCTTTCTTTCCTCTTTCTTTCTTTCTTTCTTTCTTTCTTTCTTCTCCTTTCTTTTTCTTTCTTTCTTTTCTTTCTTTCTTTCTTTCTTTCTTTTTCTTTCTTTCTTTCTTCTTCTTTCTTTTCTTTCTTTCTTTCTTTCTTTCTTTCTTTCTTTCTTCTTCTTTCTTTCTTTCTTTCTTTCTTTCTTTTCTTTCTTCTTCCTTCTCTTCTTTCTTTCTCTCTTTCTTTCTCTCTCTTTCTTTCTTTCTTTCTCTCTTTCTTCCTTTCTCTCTTTCTTTCTCTCTTTCTTTCTCTCTCTTTCTTTTTCTCTCTTTTCTTTCTCTCTTTCTTTCTCTCCTCTCTTTTCTTTCTCTCTCTTTCTTTCTCTCTTTCTTTCTTTCTTCCTTTTTCTTCCTCCTTCTTCTTGCAGGTCACGGCTCATGCGCAGATTTTTTTATCGGTAAAAAGTTCGGCCGAATTGCCTGAGCTAAGGACATATAGATTTCAGGAAGTAAATGATTCATGAATCATCTGCCCTTACTCCGGGTTCACTAACGTGCGGTATTTTTCCAGCCATTATAATTGTTTTTTTTAAAAAAAATAAACGGATTTAGCAGCCTTGTATCAAAACATGTCAGTTCATTCCAATTTCAAAACTGTACCTCTCGCCAGAGATCACTAAGCTTCCCGCGGCACCTAATTAATCGCCTATTTCCTGTTATTTCATAGTGGCGCGATGAAGAACAATATAATTATCGCATCGCCTTTTGTATCACCTTTTTTTTTGAACTTTTGAATGTAGTGGTTTGCTTTTGATCCCAATTAAATCAGAGCCTGTGTATAGCAGAGAGAACGGCTCATTTTTGGAGGACTGCTACATATTGTGCAATGGAGGTTCTGGTAACATCCATGGATGACAATGCAGCTGGGTTAGGTTTGATATAGAGATCTGCTTAAAGCCGGCCATACACGGTAATGCTAGGGATACCACCAAAAAATCATTTGAATGGGCTTTCGAAAAGCGAACAAACACGGTCGTAAGAGCAAACTATATTGCCATTGTGTAATAACTGAATTTCGAATCGTTCACTGGACCTGAATTAATCAATTTTTTGTTCTTTTTTTTTTTTTTTTTGCGTCTGGGTCACTTAATGCGTAGTAGCAACCAGGGGTGGACTGACAACTCATGGGGCCCCCGGACAATAGGGGATCATGGGGCCCCTGTGTCCTTGCCCAAACTCAAAAAAGCCTATGAAAAAGGTACCAGGGGCATCTCATGGGGCCCCCTACTGACCCCGAGCCCTCAGGCAGTGCCCGAGTTTCCAAATGGTCAGTCCACCCCTGGTAGCAACAGTCCATTTTTTTTTTTTATGGGTGAGAATCACATTAACCTTTCAATTTACTGTCTGTTCAGAAGTAGTTTTGTAAACTTTTCCTTCAATTTTTTTTTTTTTTTGGCTCAAAAACTTCACTACTGATTTTCAATTCGTGCCCATTAACTCTATGAAAAACTACCCTAATGACAGAGTTTCGAACGATTTTTAATTTACTGTATGGCCACCATTTGTATGTGCCACGTGCATTTACAGCAAGTTCCCATTCATTTGAATGGGTCATGTGTGGCAGCAATAAAGACCGCTGAGCATGGCATGGTAGAATTTTTTTTTTAAATTTTTACCACACTATGTGTACAACCCTGTCCAGCAGGGCCATGGATAAGGGGGTACCACCAGTCCTCTTGTGCAGGGTCCAGTCCAGCAGGGGAGCCCAGCAGCTGGGTGATTCGGATGTGGGCAAGGAGGGTGACCAGTATGGTAGGGAGGATCATTACTGGAACCAGGGGCGGACTGACCATTAGGAAACTCGGCACTGCCCGAGGGCCCGGGGTCATGAGATGCCCCTGGTACACTTTTTTTTTTTTTTTTTTTTTCATAGGCTTTTTTGAGTTTGGGCAAGGACACGGGGCCCCATGATCCCCTATTGCCCGGGGGCCCCATGAGTTGTCAGTCCACCCCTGACTGGAACCGATCCCCTGTATGACTCTGCAGCAGCTGAAATCTGGCTTCTTCTCTTCACCCCCTCTGGCTTCTTCTCTTCACCCCCTCTGGCTTTCAGCTGCTGCAGAGAGAGGCATACAGGGGATCGGTTCCAGTAATTACCCCCATTGCTGCACCCGTCACCCAACCCCCCGTAACGCTTCCGGCTTCCCTCTCCTTCCTACTGGCATCTACAAACGCATGATAGGATCCTTTAGGAGGGAGAGTGGGGGAAGTGCTGTAGAGAGAGCTATAGAGGGGATCAGTTCCAGTAATTGCCCCCCCCCCCCACCGATCACCCTCCCTGTGCACATCTGATTCACCCAGCTGCTGCCTGGGACCCCACAATGCCGGCTTCCCCCCTCTTCTTCCCACTGGCAGCTGCAAGCACACAATAGGATCCTTCAGGACAGAAAGTGGGGGAAGGATCCGATTAAATATGGCACATTTAGCAGCCCCTACCTTTCCTGAATGAACACAATGAGTGATTGGTACCGATCACTCGCGGTGTTCATTCATAACTGAAGCACAGTAAACTGTTTTTTTTGGTTTTTTTTTGGGGGGGGGGGGGGGACTGTCAGGTTGGCTGTATGGGGCCCTGGGGTTTCTAACAGCAGCCTTGCTGTCCAGCCACCCTTGCAGCTGTTGGGGTGGAAAAAATTATGCTCAACCATATTTTACCATCCCGTCTCTGTTTCTCCTTTTCATATGAAGTAATCAAAAAAGTTTTGGCTGGAAGTTAAGCTTTAAAAATGGTAGTTTTTGTTTTAAATTCAAACCGAGATATAAAAGTCATGCGTCACCCCGGTGCAGAGCTGTGTATGGCGACCGACCATTACCTGAGCCCAGTGAACCCTTGAACCCGGCCCGGCTGAACCGCTTGCCAGTCCCCCCCCCCCCCCCCCCCCCCACCCTTTGCTAACCTTGCCTAATCCTAATGCATTGTGTCAGGTAGCTATAATCAGCTGCCCTGCCTTCCTTAATGGATCAGATTAGCGTAGTTAATGAATTATTTTTAGGCAGCAAATCTCAAGCTGTGAAGGGCTTTTTTGTTTCTGTCTGGGAACAAATTGCTGCTAAATGACTTGACATTTCCCCGGCTGACATGCGGGAGGGAAGAAAACAAAAGCGAAGTAACTTCAATCCAGGCACCTGCGCCAGAGTTCAATGAAAAGATGGCCGGGGGGTTCACCTGGCGATTAAGAGGAAATCCAGCCTATTAGAGAATGTAATTGGTTATGGCGGCCGACCGTGTGTGCGAAAAACAGACTGAAGTACAGGTTCTTTCCCAGAGCCACCTGTCCATCACTCCATCATATACAACGTCCAAGAATGTCAATTCACCTTCGTATTTGATCTTTTAAATAATAAATTACCGGCAATACTGTTTTTTTTGTATTTTTATTTTATTTTTTAAACTTTTTTTTTTTTTTTATTTATTTTGCATTATTTTGAGTACATTTGTTCTATTTTAACAGGCTATTGCTTACATTTTATTTTTATACATTACCTACTATTTTTTTTTTTTTTTTTTTTATTGGTTGGGACAACATTAAGAACAAAGTGTAGCACCACCATCCCCCCCTCCGCCCTTCAAAGAGCTACTGGTGAAGTTAGTCTTCTTTCCTCCTTAGAGCACACACAGCATTTTCTTCACTCTTCCCCTTGCTCCAACGAATGGGGTTTCTTTTTGGGTTTTTATTGGGAAAGTTAAACTTGGATGGGGATGAGGGGAGCATGGGATACCCCAATAAACTGTAGAAATTAATAACTTGACTCCTTGGATGGGGATGAGGGGGGGCATGGGATACCCCAATGAACTGTATAAATTAATAACTTGACTCCATGGATGGGGGTGAGGGGGGCATGGGATACCCCAATAAACTGTAGAAATGAATAACTTGAGGACTCAAACATTCTGGCTGCACTTGTACAAAGAGAAATGTCCTACAGGACCTCTATGCTGTTAGCGACCAGTACTGTTTTTTTTTTTTTTTTTTTTTTTTTTTGTTTTTTGTGTTTTTTTTTCAGAGATTAAAAGCTATACACAGTCACTACTCTTCGGCATTGGGGTCTTTACTCGCATAGACACAGGATCATCGGTTGCCTCCTGCCACCAGGCTCTTCATAGTTACATAGTTAGTCTGGCTGCAAAAAGACACAAGTCCATCCAGTTCAACCAAAAAAAAAAGGTATAATCTTATGCCCACAGTTGATCCAGAGGAAGGCAAATAAACCCAGCAAAGCACGATCCAATTTTCTCTCCTGCAGGGAACAAATTCCTTCCTGATCCCCCCGAGAGGCAATTGGTTATCCCCTGGATCAACTTTACCTATAAATGTTATATCCAGTTATATTCTGTGTATCTAGGAAAGAATCCAGGACTTTTTTTTAAAGCAATCCACTGAGCTGGCCACAACCAACTCTTGAGGGAGTCTATTCCACATTTTCACAGCTCTCACTGTGAAGAAACCTTTCCATATTTGGAGATTAAATCTCTTTTCCTAGTGAGGGAGATGTTGACTCACACCGCCATAGGACAGCTGGACTCGTTCCCCCCCCCCCCAACTTCCTCCTGGCTCTCATTGGTGAGCTTCTCCAGACCCAGCCCCCCAGCTAAGCCTAGTTGGGACTTGGTGTCTTTCTGGTGGGTTCCTTCCAGACTTCTGCACCAGGGGCAGCACCCCCTGAACAGGGGTCTCCTCTTACAGGACTGAACCCAGGAATTTTGCAAATACTGCCAGACTTTATAAAGGCTTTCCAATCGCCTACTGGGCACACCTCCCCAGGGATTGGTTGGAATTTCATAAATATTCAGGCTTCCTGCTCTGTTCTCCCTACCAATATGATTCTAGAATCCTCTAAAAGACAGGGGGAAGTAACAGAGCAGCAGCCTGTGAGACACTGAGCAGCCCTAAATAATCAACCCCTGCTACTATAGCTATAGAAGAGCCAACTTAATATACCTAGCAGCCTACACTATACTAGGAGGGTGCTACATCAGGATACACAGACTTTTGAATCAATTGTTTGGTGCTTGGTTCCTTCGGTTCATGTAGATATTTTATGGCTTCTTCTTGCCTGGGATGTTCAAATATGAGATTTTCTGTAATAGTGTACCTAATCCATGGAGGAAATACATCCATTTCCCTTTCATATAGTTGACTTTCTCTTTTTTTGCCCCATTTTTTCTCTTTCAGTACATTTTTATTGAAAGATCCTAAGAAAATACAAAATAATGATTACATTTCCGAGAGACCGTACATTGCAAGTGGAGCCAAGAAACCCAATGACTGGTGTGTGCCAGTGGCGAGCAAAATGGAGGACATCAAAATACAAACCCATACCATCAGAGTACAGGCTCGTTATATAAAATGAGAGAGACTTGCATGTAGCCTTCATAGAGTTAATTAACTGGGGCTCGGAGAATGGGTTGGTTTGAGGAATTTTGCTATGTGATAGGATCCAAAAAGTTTCCTTGGCCATGATGGGTTGTAAATAGATGAATGGGTCTGGAGTCGGACAGGCAACTTATAAGGAAAATTTAATGAGGTAAAAGAGAACCAAGAGGAAAGAGAGGGGGGGATGACAGGGAAAAGAGTTACTGGGGAATGGGGAGTAATTAAGGGTAGATCCAGACTATTTCTTCCGCTCATTCATGAGGGGCTCCTAGGGTGGTCTAATATGTCAGAGAACTAACACTGAGTGACCAAAATGGATCGGTACTCTAGATAATGCTTGATCCAAGGACTTCCTTTCTTTTTACACTCCTGTCCTCCAGTATGTTTTCTGTATCTCCCCTTTTCTATTTTCCTATCCTCTAATCTTTGTCTTCCAGTTCTGCTTTTTCTCAGTCTTCTCTTTTCTCTTCCTTTTCCTTGCTTTCTCCTCACTTCCTGTCTCATCTCTCCTTCTTCCAATTATGCTATTTCTTTATCCCCTTTTTCCCTTTTCCTGTCATTTTTTTTTTCCTCTTCTTCCAGTTCTGCTCTGCTCTTTCTCCATCTTCTGTTTTGTTACCTTTCTTATTCCTTGTCCCTTTTTCTTTCCTCCTATTATCCCTTCCCCTCCCTATTTTCATCTTATCTTATCCTCTCTTCCTTCCCTCTTATTTTCTCTTCCCATTTGGCTCTGCCCTGCCCTGTCGTGGCTTGGCTCTGCCCTGTCGTGGCTTGGCTCTGCCCTGTCGTGGCTTGGCTCTGCCCTGCCTTGGCTCTGCCCTGTCGTGGCTCGGCTCGGCTTGCCCTGCCCTGTCGTGGCTCGGCTCGGCTTGCCCTGCCCTGTCGTGGCTCGGCTCGGCTTGCCCTGCCCTGTCGTGGCTCGGCTCGGCTTGCCCTGCCCTGTCGTGGCTTGCCGTGCTCCTTATCATTTTTGGTTTCCTCTCCCTTTATACTTTTATCATTTTCACTTCCCTTCTGTTCTTCTCCTTCTCTTCTTCCCATATGTTCCCTTTTTTTTTCACTTTTCTCTTTGAATTTCCGCAAAAACTTTGGAGTTTTGCGTGGAATGTGTCAGATTTGGCTTTGTTTCTCCATGTTTTTTTGTTTTTCATACCAATACAGACAAAATAAATATAAGAATGCCTAAACATTTGTAATTGCAACAATTTTCTGGGCAAATTGGTGCATTATCTGACAGAAATGCAGGGGTGCCAATATTTTGGACATGACTGTAAGCCCCTAGATAATATTAGCAGTTTACCAGTGGATTTCCCTCATAGCCTGGATGTGATCTGTCATTGTGCCATATAAAGCATTACTTTGCCAACATCTCATATT